GCCCGCGGCCGCGCCGCCGCTCAGGGCCGCGCTCGGCGGCTTGGACGGCGGCGCCGCTGCCTTGAGCGGCTCGCGCTTGGCCTCCGCCATAACCTCGGACGCCATGAATGCGTCCAAGGGATCCACCTCGTCCTCCTCCATCGGCTCCGCCTTAGGCTCCACCTTCACCTCCAGCTGCTGCTGCTGCTGCTGCTGCTGCTGCTGCTGCTCCGTCTGCTGCTGCTGCTGCTGATGTGGCATCACGTGGTTGTGGTTCTGTGCATCCGCCACGGCGCCGCCCTCCCCTTCCTGCTTCACCCGCGGGCCGCCGTCGCCGCCGCCATCCGCCGCGGGCGCCGCAGCGAGCTCCTGCGTGTTGCCCGCCATGAACGCGTCCAGAGGGTCCACGTCATCGTCCTCGTCAGCACCGGGCGCGCCGGGGGCCGCCTGCGCGCGAGTGTGTGTGTGTGTGTGAGGGGGGGAGAATGACTAGCGAAGGCAACTGCTTTGCCCCAGGTCCTGGGGCCGGCAGCGTGCAGCTGTAGGAGCCATGGCATGTGGGAGCGGGCCGCCCATGCTGTTGCAGTCGTGCACCGCTGCAGGACACTTCCTTTGCAACCACCCCGGTACCGCCCTAACCCCTTGGTCCCCTCCACCGGGCGTGCGTCCCCAAACAAAGGGTCGATGCCCCACCTCGCCGTTCTGCTGCTGCTGCTGTTGTTCTTGCTGCTGCTGCTCCTGCTGCTGCTCCCCCTCGTCATCATCGTCCTCCAGGCTCCACCCCTTCTCCTGCTGCTGCTGCTCCTGCCGCCGCCGCTCCTCCTCCTCCTCCACAACCCGCTGCCGCCGCTCCGCCTCGGCCGCCGCGGCCGCTGCCGCCGCCTGCTCGGCCGCCTTCTTGGCGCGCCACTCCTCCACCCGCTTGCGCCGCCGCTCCACCTCATCGTTGAGTGCCGCCTGCGCCACCAAGGTGAGCGCATGGTCAGATCGCAGCACCAGCAGCAGGGTTGAGTGCGTCAGGCCCGAGCGGTGAGGAGCGGGACCATGTCGGCCCCCACCGCATTAGCCGCATGCAAACAGGGCACGACATGCATGTGCAGCCACACACAGATGCACAACTGCATTGCATGCACAAGGGCCACACCTCTACCGCACCTGATCCGCATCCTTCCGCTGCTGCTGCTCGGCTCCCTCGCCCCCCACCGCCGCGGGCGCCGCGACCGGCGCCGCTGCAGCGGGCGGCCGAGCCGCGTCGCCTGGCCCGGCCCCCGCCGCGGCCGGCCGCTCGCCCGAGGCCTCGCGCCGCCGCTTCCGCGCGGGCTCGTCGCCGGCGTGTGGGGAGCGGGTGCGGTCCCGGTCGCGGCGGCTGCCGCGGTCGGCTTTATCGCGGTCGTGATCATGTTCACGGCCCCCTGCGGCGCTGCCGCTGCCTCCGCCGCCGCTGCTCCTGTGGCGCTCCCGTTCTTTCTGCTTGTGATCGCGGTCGCGGTCGCGGTCGCGGTCCCGCTCCCTATCCCTCTCGCGCGACGGGCGCCGCTCGCGATCCTGCGGCGCGCGCGCATGAGCAGGGCAGGTTTGGGCAGGGGCGGACGGTGGGGGCATGTGCAGGTGCTAGCAAATCGTGAGAATGGCGTGTTTGCGGGTTGTTAGTGTGCATACTAAATGGTTTCGACCCTGGCAGGGTTTATGCAGCATTATGGTGTGTGCACAGGGGCCCGCAGCACCGCCATGCCACTTGCAGCCGCTACCGCACGCGCAGCACGAGTGCAATGAGGTGTGCTTTGGTGAACTGCAGCCCTCCCCTTCCCTCCTCCACCTCTGCCCCTGCTCACCCGCTCTCTTGATCGTTCTCGATCCTCCCGTCGCTCTTTGTGTTTGTGCTTGTGCTTGTGCCTATCGGAGCGCTCGTCGTCCTCATGCCCCCCCATCTTGTACTGTGGCGTGGCTGCCCTTCCACCGCGGGCACTCCCACACCTCTTCAACCTCTGCTGTTTCCTCTATGCCCAGAAGACGGACCTATCAACGCCGGCCTGGCAGGTAAGATCTGATCTGCGTGTGATGATCGCAAGAAAGGGCAATATCGCTCGTAGATTGTTATTTTGCCTATTATATTGCCTTAGTATGCTCGACGATGCGCGAAGAGTGGGCCGTGGCTTGCATTGGGCTCAAACGCGTCTGTGACGGATGGTGCAGGTATCTGTCCTCGGCTATGCAGAATTTGTCGAAACATCGTGATTAGGTGAGGCGTGATGCGACATATCGGTAGCCTTGCAACAGAGACAGGTGTTGACCAAGGTGACTGCAATGAGCGCTTGTGCGTTGTGCACCTCAACAGTCGAAATGCTCTCAGAGTGTCTTTGCAAGTCGAGGCCATTAGTTATGGATTTATCTATGCATGCGTCAGCTTGGCAACACCCAGAACACCGTGTGCGCACCTTCGTCTGTCTCCTTGCCTTGCAGTCCAAGGCAACTGGATGGCGGTGCCATAGCAATGCGATGGGGTGCACGGGTGCCCACGACCCCTTGAATGCAGCGCGCGGCCTTCCTTGAATGCAGTGTCTGTGCATGCCGATAGCATCATGATCACTGGTCGGCTCTGTTGGCCCAGCCCTGCAACACGCACCCCTGACAACGCAACATTTACAGTGCTAGCCATGCGGCCGCGCCCTGTAGCGCCGGGCGACCCAGCACATTCAAATACTATGAGTGCCATTCATATGCCACCGTTTGTTGCAAATAAGTGCACACACGCATGGCCTCAGCTCACGCTGGACTGCTTGGCATCCACGACCGCATGTGTGAGCACGGTGCATCTGTGTGTTACAGCACCCTTTATGACCGATGCCTCTTTGACACGTGTCCGTTTCTGCCGCCCACTGCACAAGCCGGACCTGTCACCCGTGTGGTTGGGCAGCCGGCTGGCGTGCAAGACGGAGGCGCGACGGGGGCGTCCAGTCGGTGCACGGCAGCTGACTCACATGGTGCTTGCCCCCGAACGCGCCTTTAGCAGCAAATTACAAGCATTTACCGCTCGCAAGCAGATAAGATATAGCATGCAGGCATGAAGGCTGGCTTACGGTAGACTTCCACCTATATCGCAGTCCGAAGCGGCTCTGACGGGGCTGATCAATCGCGCGGTAGATTTATTTCAATTGGCGCCGTACAAGCCCTGAAAAGACCACAGCAACAAGGTGAGTTTTTGCCGCCTGGTTCGGAAGCCTTTCTGGGCAGCGTTCAGGACAGGATGTAGTTTCATAACGCACATGAAGCACTGGCGCAGTCGCGAGAGGGGGGCCCGCTGGCCCCGGCAGTCGCGGCTGTGCGCCGGTTGGGCGCTGCTGTTTGCTTGCAGCGGCTGCAGCCGCTGCGGGCGGCATCGTGCCGCCGCCCAGGTGCCTGGGCCTTGTCTCTTGACCTCTGACCTTACCCATGCTATTTTTGTATCGACACACCACACTCTTTTGCGGGCTCTGCAGGGCAGTTGAGCGGCTGGCGAGCGCCGCGACGCGCCACGCCTGTTGAAGCCCTGCAGAGTGAGTTGCGTCCTGCGGGGAGTTTTTGAGCGCGCCACGGCATATCAGGGCAGCCGCCTGCATGCAGTGCCCCAGCTGTGCGATTGGTAGCTCCCAACTGGCGCGTTCGAAGCCGTCTCGCGTGCGCTGCACACCCAACGAGGTGCATCTGCATGACCGACTCCCTCCCTCGCATGCATGCGAGACTGTTTCACTGTAGTATATCTCCTGTCACCAAGAGCGACCAGTGCACCCCTATACATGCGGTGTCTTAGCATTGGGGCCACCCTCTTTCATAGTCTCATTCGCCCACACTCCTGCATTTTGTCACCCATGCGCAGCTGACGCCAGCCTACAGTATCGAAGCGTTGCTTTTCAGCCGTTTGCAGCAGGTGGGATCCATCCCCACGCAGCGCGCGCGCCGACAGCGCGCGCCGCCATCACCGCAGCGATCGCGATCCGTGATTGCGATGAGAGTGGGGCCGCGCACTCCGCACTGGAGCGAGTGCAGCCCAACGGGTGGACACTGACGTTCACCCAACTCACTTTCAGGCCAGGTCAGGGGTGCACGCTGTGTCGCAGTCAAGCCGGTCGTTGCATGGGCGGGCAGCTGGACGCGGCCATGGCGCACAGAAGCAACCTGCCTTCCTTATGTCAAACAGTGTCTGCACGTGCTGCGCCTTCCCACCAGCAGCTGCACAGGCGCGACTCCAAGCCCGGACTGACGTGTGCACCCAATGGCTTCTGAGACCCCAAAGCTGGAGGAGGTGGCAGCTGTTGAGGGCGCTCCGGCGGTGCCGGGGGAGGCAAAGGTAACTCAGCCGCAGGAGGAGCAGCAGCGGGAGGCGCAGCCGCAGCAGGAGGAGCAGAATCAGGAAAAGCAGCCTCAGGAGGAGCAGAAGCCGGCGGGGGAGCAGCTGGGGGAGCGGGACGTTCTCGCGCCACCACACGGGGAGCAGGAGCCGGCGGCGGATGCCGGCGCGGCAGCGGAGGCGAGCAGGGAGCCTGCAGCAGCAGCTGATGCCCCCGTGGCCGCCGACGCTGCGGCCTCACCTGCAGCGGATGGGGATGCAGAGGCCGGCGCACCGCCGACCGCAGGCGTTGCGCAGGAGCCGCCGACCGCGGCCGCGGCGGCGGAGGCGGGCCCCGGGGCGGTCTCGCCCATCGGCACCGCTTCGAGCGACGGCTCTGACGACGCGGCGGACGGCGGCGCCGACGCCGCCGGCGGCGCGCCGCGGACGCCGCGGAACGTGGCGATGCTGCGGGGGCAGTCCGCGCTGGACCTGATGACGCTGCTGCCCCCCGTCGTGATCTGCGGCCCCAGCGGCGTGGGCAAGGGTACCATCATCGAGGCGCTGATGGGGCGCAACCCCGACAAGTTTGCGTTCTGCGTCAGCCACACCACGCGCGACCCGCGGCCGGGTGAGCCCGACTGGCATGCCGGCCGGCGGGCCCGGCCGCTTGCCTGCCGGCCCCTCTCGCCTGCCGGCTCGCCCGCGTGTCTCGCCGCGCAGCCCCAGCACGCATGTCTGTCCGGCCCAGCCTCAGCCAGGCGAGCTGAGAGTTTCATCCGCACGATGCGGTCTTAAGCGCTGCCTGTCCCCCTCCGCCCCAGGCGAGGTCAACGGGCAGCACTACCACTTCATCACTAAGGAGGTCATGCAGGCGGCCGTCGACAGGGGCGCCTTCCTGGAGCACGCCCACGTGCACGGCAACATGTGAGGCCGTGCCCTTAAGGGGGTGGTTGTTTTTGGGGGAAGGGGAGGCGGGGCGGCGGGCGGCTGCAGGGGCCGCGGACGGGCAGCGCTCCACAGGTGGTGGGTCCAAGGGTGGTTTCGTGACCGGCCAGGGTGGGCGCGGCAATATGTGAGCCCGGGCCTGGGGAGGGGCGGCCCTCAGGCCCCGGGGGCCATGAGTTGCATGGGGGGCAGCGGGGTGGTGGGAGGGACGGCGGCCCTATCCTTCTGGGAGAGGGGGCAGGGGCCTTCAAACGATGGTTCGGGGCCAGCGTGGGGCAGGGGTCGCGCCGGAGGCCAGGGGCCGGCGGGGTCGGAGGTCGAGGGCATTCGGGCTCGAGGGCTCGCCCCCAAAGCGCCCGGCCGGCAGCGTGTTTCTGCACGACCTGATCGTTACTTGCCCGACGTCTGATGTCTCGCCGCTGCTGTGTAATATGGGGCCGGCATTCCGCAGGTACGGCACGAGCCTGGCGGCGGTGGAGGCGGTCAGCAGCGAGGGCAGGGTGGCGATCCTGGACATCGACGTGCAGGGCGCGGAGCAGGTGGGTGGGGTGGACGGGTGGTTGGCTGGGGCCACGGGTGACTGGGTGGGTTGGTGGCTGGGCGGGTCGACGGGGGGCTGGCTGCACATGCG